CCCTTAAATATTTAGCTATGCAAATGCACATATGTAATTTTTTTTGTAAATATTACAGATTTTGGTAAAATTGGTAAGTGGTGAGAAATAAACCAAGAAAGGAAGGAGAAAGGCACTTCTTCTCTAACCTTGTGTGTTTTTTCTTCTTTGAAAGCTAAACATCAAAAAAAATGTGATCTGAAGTAAAGTGCAAATAGTGTAGTATCAAGGAGGACGGAAAGACGTGGAAAAAACAAAGAAGTATCATGGGGTTCACTGGGAAAGGATGAGCAGTGGAGTACAAATGAGCATGAATTAAAACTTTGTAACAGAAAAGGTGATTAACACTTACATTGCCACAGGGCATTAGGTTGGTAGGTTCCAATTAGGATTTGACATCCACAAGCATGGTAAACATTGTCTTAATTGTTAAACTGAACTTTGGGCCAGATACTGAATCTTGTATGTCAGTACTTGTTGGTGCATAACAAACTTAGAGGGAAGTTATTCTACACCAGTGCATAGGGTAGTTTTTGAATGCCAATTCTTGAGTGTCGTTGGTCACAGTGTGAGACCGGATCCCAAAACTCAGGGGTGAGATAAAGTATGACTATTGCTGTGTTCCTTTAAGATTTGTCTGTGGCTTATTTTTTGGATAATTTAAATAAGAAGCATTTCTGAGGCCTGGCTTTCTAAGGTCCTGAGCACTGCTCATTGTCTCAAAACCATATTATCTATCAGAATCACATACTCCGTTCATGCAAATACATAAATAAAATAATGTCTGGAACAGTTCACTGACAAACGGGCATTGTACATTTGTGAGCTTATGGTAACAGCAGGAGTTAGAAGAGCAAAAGCCAAATAATAAAACTTACTCTAGAACTTAGGTCTTGTATGCCATGTTTCAGGCTTTTGTGTATATTCGTGGTTGATTATAGACACCCTAAAAATAGGAGCATATAATGGAAATGCTGACAGATTCTGAACTCTCCCGATGGTAACAGGCACTGCTATAATTAGGCATGCATCTGAGTAGACAGTGTAATATGATTGCCATGTTTGTACCCTGCACTGGAAGGAATGTTTGTTAATCTGCACAATCCTTTTAAATGAACTGGGGGGCAAGAGTTTGTGGAAAAAAGATGCTGAGGTTTATTACATATTCAGGCTGACGTATTTGTATGTCAAAAAACAACAAATACTTGCAGGATATTGGATAACTGGTTAACTGCATTTTTGCAGTTACAATTTGTGTTTCAATAACAGTTTGTGTTTCAATAAGAACTTTTCTTTCCTCCTTTTTTAGGCATTTAAACTCTCCAGTCAAAAAGTCTTTTCCCCTTATTTTCTTTTTGCTGTCAAAACACTGTTTATTTTGTAATTTCAGAGGTCAGAGCCCTGCTGTTGCTGAATTTAACTTGCTCTTGAAAGCATATTCTTTGGAAACTTATGGTGTTGATCCTCATCCTTGCAAGGTAACACTTCTTTTTACTAACACTTAATAAAATGTTCTTTTTATTAACATGTAGCCATTAATTTAATTGTTTTAGCTCTGTTTTTTATCTAGGCACAAACAGGGAGTGATTAATAAGAGAACTTGCCCTGTAACTACATATTATGCTTAAGCCTTGGAAGAACATTGACTGATTGACATTTCTGCGTCAGTCAGAGGAAAGATCCCTCTGGAGGAAGAGAACATTGTAGGAGAATCTAGTAGAGTGTCACGACAAAAGCTTTGATTATACTTCGTAATTTCTTTATATGTAAGGCAAAGGTTTCTCTAAAGACTCCAGGTGTGAAATATTTTGTATGATTTTAAGGTTTCAGCATTATTCTTGTCCAGAAAATGCAATAACTTGTTAGTCTGTGGCAGATTAGTTTTTCAAACACCATCAAAATATGCAAATCTTAGGAAGAACAACAGAGCAAATGTGCAAAGGGGAGAACCAGACAAACATTTGCATATTGTTCCATTGTAATGTTTTGTAGTTCTCTTTAAGAAGGTGGTTATAGTTACCACTTTTGCTTATCCCTTGCACCTGCATTTTTAATTACTTGGTTTTATGTGCATGATCTGCAGTGTTTGTTCTTAGTGTTACTTGCTTCATGTTTTAACTGCTGTTTTTACTTTGGCTCGTATACCACCTCACTCGGAGGACCAGCAGTGCTGTCCTGTTAGGTGTTCTGGTGGTGAGCACCCTTAAACAGTCGGCCCTAACATAAAGCTGCATTGCATTTCACATACACTTTGGTGCTCCTGTGTGAAATGCAGGGTCTGGTTCAGAGCTCAGTGAAGTCAGCGATTTAGTAAACTTTATTTCGAAACTACACTGTAGATTTTCGAGGGCATCTCAGACTCTTATGTTGACACTTAGGACAGAGTCAAACCTGGCTCAGAGTTTCTTCTTCACCTGTGCAGCAGGGCTTGTCATGTGGTGCTATGCAGGGTTCACGGCTTGTGCTTAAGAAAAAATTTTCAATCTTCTGGAGGCACGGTGCTTCCCTGGCTCCTTATGACATGCTCCTTCCAGTGCTGTGGATGCTACTCCAGAAGCATCCTTAGTTTATTGATGGAATGTAAGGTGCAGTAAAGTTGACTAACTCAAGTAGGATGAGGGTCTAGAACTTGAGGTGGACAGGAAATCCAGTTAATAAAAGACTCACCTGAACTATTGCTGAAAAACAGTTCTGCTGAGTCAGAACTTTTGAAATGTTCTTTCCTATTTGAAAGACAAGTATCACCATATGTTCTGGTTCATACTCAAGAGCAGTTGCTTATTGTAGTACATGCTGTCTCTCAGCAGTACTTCCAACACAGCATCTCGCAGAGGAAAAAAATGTTGTGAAAACTTAAAAAATATCAGTGTTGGAGCAGATGTGAATACCTGGTTTGTTGTTAGTCAGCATGTTAAGAATAGGAGACACACAGAAATAAGTTTTCAACAAAATTATCAAGCGTACCTAATGATTCCCTGTTGTCATAAGCTTCGGGTAGATAGAAAGAAATCATAAGATGCTGTTACTCTGTTAAATACCTAGAAATAATTAGGTTTGTATTGCCAAGAGCAGCCTTTGTTCTTTAGAATAGTATGAATTGAAGATAAAATTTATTTTGAAAATGAAAACCAAATAGAGATAATCTATAGTGAAGTAAGAATTTATTGCAACCAATAAGAAATACCTCACTGGATGAGGGGAAAATTATATTTCTTTTTTCTCTTTCAAGGACTCAATGGGGACAACTACATTTTTAGGATTCACTGCTGCAGGATTTGTAGTTTTCCAGGGGAATAAAAGAATTCATTTGTTAAAATGGTAAGCATGTGAAGTAAGAGTAGATTAATATGTGAGTCTGTGCTCCTGTGTCTTCCCTCCTTCCTGCTATCTTCACCATTTGTTGTCTTTAAGGTGAACCATGTGAATATTCCTTCTCTTACCTGATCATGTTTTTGTTTTAAAGGATCTTAGATGAGAAGTGTAATAGTAATAACTTGGTCTCATTCTTCTTTCAATTAAAATTATTCCACAGGATGAATTTGTCAAAATAATGCACAAATGCTAGAATTGAGTAAGTTGATTTTTCAAGTATGCTGTAAATCACCAGGGAGGCTTATTGGCAGACATGTCTGGAGGAGTTTACAAGGGTCCACCTGCATCTTTATTTGACTCTTGGAAATGCTGCTATTTCCTCATGTAATTAACTTCACTTTGAAAACTATAAAATAATTTATTTGGTCCATTTATATTGGAGGAGGTGAGAATGCCTTGGAATTTTTATTTTTTAACCCCTTTCTTAGGAAGTGGACGGAGATATGCAATTGCCCTTGATTTTTCTGGCTTTGATTTTCTTTACTGCTCCTGTAAAACGTTTGACTTAACTGGGTAGAGATGGGGGAAAACCCAGCTGCTGCCGAGGCTCTAACAGCAGCTGGCCATGCCCTCAGCAATGAGGTGCAGGGTGAGCACAGTCATGCTCAGACATCGATAAGTGTCATTTTAGCCTGGCTGCTGAACAGACGCCAACAGCAGTTACGTATACATGGCTGCTCCACCTCAGTGCTCCCGGACTGTCTTGTAGGAAGAAGATGGGCAGGAGGTGAAGAAATGGTGAATGTTTTTTTGTGTAGGCCTGGACTCTTTCCTGCATATCTGTAGAAGCCTCTTCAAGAGCTGACTGACCTGAAATCCTCAGAAGTATGAGTGTAGTCCTGAGTGCATGATTTGGTGCCTAGTGGAGATCTGGGGTCATGTCTGTCAAATACCATCCATTTGTGATCCCGGATTTGTGCTGTAGTTTCCCTAGGGTTAATTTCAGGTAGCCCTAGTCACAGTGCTTTGAGCTTTTGGTGTACAGTGTAACTCTAATGTCATTCTATGGTGCAGGGGAGGAAAAGATAGCACTTCCCAAGCATGTATCCACCATGCTGTAGGAAATGGGTCTCACAACACCTATTTTTTCAAGTTACGCAAGGATAACATGTCCTTTCAGAGGTCTTGGTGTATTAGTTTCGTCCATTGGCACGTAAACTAGGTACATAATGAAATAGTGATAGAAGAAAAGCTATTAAGCTGTCTTAGTGTTTGTTACAACTGGCTGTTGGAAGGTAGATCTTGTGAGATTTATCTGGATGCCATGTACTGTGCCTTTCATTTCTAAATGTGAAGTGAGTGCTAGTAGCTTTAACAGACAGCTGAAATTTGCACTACACAGTAAAAATCCAAATTAATATCTGAGATTTTCTTTTCAGTGTAAAAGCTTTCTCATTTTGAACGATTTTGTGTTGTTGCTGTTTAATGTTAAGGCAAAACTCTTGTTATAAAGTTTTCAGGATAGATAAGTTGCCTCCAAAATCATTCCTACTTCAACCATCTGACATCCAAAATCTTTGTAGACATTTATGAAAAACTATAGTATCTCCATTTTAGCTGTGGTAATGACAAAATTTCCATTACAATTTAAGCAGGGGCATTGCATTCTTTTCATATGGTGCATCACTATTCCATATGTAGATTGTGCTTTGAACCTTCATTAGATAAATTTTGACACAGATTTGCAACTCACATGGCTCTGGTAGTAAATGTTGTCAAACATTTTCTTTTTCTTCCTGTTGTGTTTTGTCTGTAAGTCGTCAGTTACCACGATGTGTGATATAAAACCACATACAAATAAGGGTAGAGATAAGATGTTGCTGGTAAAAACTGCCTGTATCTAGAAAATTTTACTTCTTACGCAACACATGCCGGGTCAGAGTATTATCTTCCCCTCAATTTAATTACATTAGATGTTCCAAGATTTTAAGATATGAGGAATTACAAACTGTGTGATAGATAAAATGCAAACATAATCTCCTGACTACTTTTAATTACCTCTTCATTTTCCAGAAGTCAAAGTTAATTCTCTGAAGGTGCATAGGATGTTCTCTAAAGAAAATTAGAATATTAAATGCTTTCATGCAAAAGGTTGTAAGACTTCTGTTGAGGTTCTTTGTCATTTAACAGCCTGCTTGACTCTGGGAATCAGGGAAGTTTCCATGCAAGTTACTTTTCCTACCTGTAGATCTATATATTTTTTCAATACTTAAATGATTTTTCTCTTTCTAGGTGTGATGTTTATAAACTGAAATTTGAAGGGAAGACTTTTTATGTGTTTGGAGCTCAGAAAGAGGTCAGGTTCAATATTTTTAAAGAAATTCTGTGTTTGATTTAGAGTCAACTGAAACATAACATCATTTTTTAACTGAACAAACTTCTAAGCAATTATTTTACTTCATATTGTAACTAAAATATAGAATATGAGTGAATGTGTATATTGTTTTCTCAAAAGAATGTCTAATTTGTGAAGGGTTGAAACATTTCTTAACATTCACACTTAACATTCTTGTGTGCTGTGCTGATTTTTCATGGTTTTATTGTCTGAGTAGTAAGGTTTTAATAGGTTTTAAAGCACTAAAATTGTACCCACCTACTCCAAAGCATGAGCAACATCTATATTTGATTGAAAATTCAGGTGGGCATTGATACCTGGATCAATGTGAGGAATTTTTGGCTAGTTACAATCATCTGCTCAAATCTTGGTCAGCTGAATAAACTGTAGTCTGTGCTATGTAGTTATGAGTCTTATGAAGCCTAATGAATGCTTTTGGCATTGAAATCATAGAGATTTTTGTCTACAGCATGCTGTAATCAGTTCTTCCCCTAGGGCAGAGTGATATAGCCAAAGATTATGGCTTTGGATGCAATGTAGGTGAGGAATAGAAAATGGAGAAAGGAAACAATGCCAGAGGTATCAAGGGTTGTTTGTGTGGTTGCAAGGAGAATTTGACAGTAGGACATAGAGAACACAGAGAAGTTGATGTGCAGTGTAGTATATTGAACACAGAGACTTTTATCTTTTGATTTTGGCCTGAAAACAGTTGTTACAGATTTGTTCTCCAGGCTACTTGTACATATGCTCTTCTCTTCCCACGCCAAGCACTCCCTTTTATTTCTGAATCAATTACCTGGGCAGTTTAAATATCAGCTACGTATGTGTTGTACTTCTGTGAGTGAACCACATATTGAAGCTGCACAGAAAAACTTGGTCTTCAGTGTATTCTGTTCATGGTTATGCTGTCAGGTACAGCTGCTTTAGTCTTTGAGAATTCAACATTTTCACTACTTTTATTTGCCTTCTTTTCCTTGCACTTAGAAAAAGGCTGTGCTGTCATTCCATACCTCTACACCAGCAGCATGCAAGCATCTTTGGAAATGTGGGGTGGAGAACCAGGCTTTTTACAAGTATGTAAACTTGAAGTCATTGTCTATACTAAGAGTAAATAATGTGCATCTGGGTAGAAGATTGTTCAATATGAAATGTTCCATTTCTTTAACAGAATTCAAAAAGCAAACAGAAAATATGCAAGTTAGTGGGAAATATTATTTCATTTTGGGCCAGTATTATAAATTGTTTAAAATGCGAGTGAGGCAGGATAGATTTGGCAGTGAATAATTACACTTCTTTCAGCACATCGTTTTTGGCACTCTGTAGTGTGACGTTGGGTGGACACAGTACTTCACTTGTGTGTGGGAACATAGTTGTTAATCTTAGCTCTGCTGTTGAATACCTTGAGAATGGAGGAAACAATGTTATGCTTGATTTTCTGGGTGCTTCTACTGGTAGGAAATGTACTCCCATTTTACTAAATCCAAGGTTTACTAAGGTTGCTCAGAAAAAACCCTCAAAATTCTCTGCAATGACTTTTATTTTTTTTAAAAAAACGAAGCTCTTAGATACATTTTGAAAGATGCCAGCCATCTTGTTAAAAAAAAAAAAAATCTTGTCTGTAAATTTTCTTGTTTGTAAATTGACAAGACAAAAGTAGGATCTTCCTCCCTATTCCCTAAAAGAAAATAATTCCTCATGAAAAAGCTCTTATGTGTTCTTTCTGCCCTCCAGTGACTTTGTTAGACCTGTTTATTGACACTTCCTTTTAGGCTTGTAGCTTTCATTTTTGGTACTTAGTCTCTCCTTACAGCATCTTGCAAATTTCATAAAATTTATTTTTTCTGTGTTGGAGCATAACAACACCACGGGGCTGCTGTAAGGGTAAGTAGTAAATAGGAAGAGTGTGTCTTTTAACATGGAATCATAGAGTGTTTTGAGTTGGAAGGGACCTTAAAGACCATCTCCTCCCACCCCCCCTGCCATGGGCAGGGACACCTTCCACTAGACCGGGTTGCTCAAAGCCTCATCCAGCCTGGCCTTGAAGACATCCAGGGATGAAGCATCCACAGCTTCTCTGGGCAACCTGTTCCAGTGCCTCACCACCCTCTGAAGAATTTTTTCCTGATATCTAATCTACATCTACCTATTTTCATGTTAAACCCATTACCACTTGTCATGCCACTACAGGTCCTTTTAAAATATTCCCCTCCAGCTTTCTTTGTAGCCCCCTTCCGGTAGTGGAAGGTGCTATAATGTCTCCCCGGAGCCTTCTCTTCTCCAGGCTGAACAAGCCCAACTCTCTCAGCCTTTCTTCATAGCAGAGGTGCTCCAGCCCTCTGAGCATCTTCGTGGCCTCCTCTGGACTCGCTCCAACCAGTCAATATCCTTGTGACGTGGAGGGCCCCAGAGGTGAACACATTGCTACAGGTGGGGTCTCAGGAGGGTGCAATAGAGGGGAAGGACCAACTCCCTTGACCTTTTGGTCAGGCTTCTTTTGATGCAGTCAAGGATATGGTTGGCTTTTTTGTCTGCAAGCAGTTTTGGCTCATATTGAGCTTCTTGTCAGTAACACCCCTATTTCCTTCTCTGGATACAGCCCAGGATACAGTTGGCTTTCTGGGCTGCCAGCGCACACTGCCGGCTCATGTTCAGCTTTTCATCCACCAGGACTCCCAAGTCCTTTTCCTCGGAGCTGCTCTCTATCCACTCTCCACCCAGCCTGTACTTGTGCTTGGGATTTCCCCAACCCAGGTGCAGGACCTTGCACTTGGCCTTGCTGAATTTCATGAGATTTGCACAGCCCTACCTCTCAATATCCCTCTGGATGGCATTAACATGGATGATAATGATCTGCTTTATTTTGGAGAATATTCATTCATTTCAACACTGATATAATAATATATCAATATAATCTGTTCAGTACATATATTCAAAGAAGAAACAGGAAATATGAGCTGGCAAAATGCAGCTGTAATTATCTATGCTAAGATTTACTGTGTTTGAGACTGAATTAATAAAAGATCGCCAGGAATTGTTTTCATTAAAAGTGGCTGTAGGTGGGAAAATAGTGCATGGTGTTTGAGTGGGTTTATTTTATGTTACTAGAAACACATATAGGGAATAGGAAACAATTCCCAAACAAAGGAGATAAATTAGTGCTTAAAGATATCTGAGTGAGATTCACAGGGATATCATCTCTTACTGTTAAATAGTTGTAATATTAACCATTTGGGTTTTGGTCACAATTACGTGGTTGAGGTGGGTTTGGCCTTGAATAGGTGCCAGATGCCCACCAAGCTTCTCTCCCACTCTCTCTCCTCAACTGGTTAAGGGGAGAAAATATGAAAAAGCTCATGGGTTGGGATAAAGATGGGAGGATTGAGTACCAATTACCATCACGGTCAAAGCAGTCTTGACATGGGGATGGTTAATTTAATTTGTTTTTCACCTTCTTACTCTGTTTTTAGATGACAATAAAGACAAAACTAGAAACACCCCTCCCCTGTTTCTTCCCTGGCACAGCTTCACTTGTTCATTCCCATCTGCTCTGTGTTCTCCTTGCCCTGAGCAGTGCAGGGAGATAGGGAAAGGGGCTTCATTCAGCTCAAAGCAGTTTCTGCTGCTCCTTCCTCCTCACACTTTACTCCTGCTCCAGTGTCCTTCACAAGCAGCTCCAGTGTGGGTCCTTCCCATGGGCTGCAGTCCTTCAGAATAAACCTACAGCTGCAGCATGGGCCACAACTCCTGTCAGGAGCCAGGTCCTGTGCGGGCTCTCCATGGGCTGCAGCTTCCCTCGGGCCATGTCCCCCTGCCGCACTGCAGTGTCCTGCATGGGGTGCAGTGTGGATATCTGCTCTGCCATGGTCTTCCATGGGCTGCAGGGGAACAGCCTGCTTTGCCATGGTATTCACCATGGGCTGCAGGGGAAACTCTGCTTCAGCCTCTGGAGAACCTGCCCCCTCTCCTACTTCTCTGACCTTGCGTGTCTGATGGTCTGCATCTCTTATGTTTTCTACTTCCTGAATGTCTTCAGGACACTCCTGTGGGGTTATTTCTTTAGCATGATTGCTTAAAATTATGCTTGCCTGTTTCAATTTTTGTGGGTTTTAAATGATGTCTACTTTAGTAAAATGAAGATTGGTAGTGATATTCAATGACGAGGATCCTGGCTGATAGTTTGGAAAATAATAATGGTTAATATGTGGACTGCAGAAAAATAACAACAATCCGCCAAACATGAAACTCTGCACCTCCCCTCGGGGACTGTCCCCCTGCCGCACTGCAGTGTCCTGCATGGGCTGCAGTGTGGATATCTGCTCTGCCATGGTCTTCCATGGGCTGCAGGGGAACAGCCTGCTTTGCCATGGTATTCACCATGGGCTGCAGGGGAAACTCTGCTTCAGCCTCTGGAGAACCTGCCCCCTCTCCTACTTCTCTGACCTTGCGTGTCTGATGGTCTGCATCTCTTATGTTTTCTACTTCCTGAATGTCTTCAGGACACTCCTGTGGGGTTATTTCTTTAGCATGATTGCTTAAAATTATGCTTGCCTGTTTCAATTTTTGTGGGTTTTAAATGATGTCTACTTTAGTAAAATGAAGATTGGTAGTGATATTCAATGACGAGGATCCTGGCTGATAGTTTGGAAAATAATAATGGTTAATATGTGGACTGCAGAAAAATAACAACAATCCGCCAAACATGAAACTGAAGCCAAAAGAATCTGTAAATAAAGGCTTAAGACAGTAGTTTTGAAACAGCAAAAACTTTTGTACATTTCAGAGAAACTGAACAGTACAGCGTGGACTGTTAGTTACTGAACAGCATTAGATGAATCCTGTCTGTTTATGTTCTGTACAGTATCAACAAGGTATTCTAATTAGATTAGAACAGATGTAGCCAGGTTGTGTAAGTAATTCATGATAATGACACTTTGCCTTAATTAGATTTTGTCCTTTCCTCTGCTTAGAAGAGCTTGAGACGTGGAATTTCAGATAAGGCATGTCTTGAAAAACAGACATTTCGTCCTGTTTCAGTCCAGGCTCAGGGTTAATCTGCTGTGATTATTTTCAAGTAGCTATAAATCATAGAAGATTGCCTATTAGGGTCTGGGAATAAAGGACTTGATATGAAATAAATTTGCTATTTTGAAACCAGAGAACATCAAGGAGATGGTGTGTGTGAGCTACTCTTCAATCATCTTTGTGATAAAAAGACTGTGGTAAAAGGTTGCTGTGTATTTCATGATTAGAGAGAAGCAGTAGAATATGACATAGACTACTAAGAAATTGAGAGAGACTACTAAGAAGATAGAAGCATCAGAAATGCAACTACTTTTGGAGACAAGTATTACCACTTCTCCATTATTTCTTTGCTTTATTAGTGGGAAAATGTAAATAGCCATATCTTCCCACAAACAAGAAGTTTGTTTGTAATTTGGTTTGCCCCAATTAGGGCAAACGTCCTAGGGACTTCTGGTGTTGCACCATCTTTCCTTATCCTGGGAATGAAAGTCCCTAGAGCAGCAAGTGTTGGCATTTAATTTTCTTGCTTTCCTGTCCAGGTAATCTCTTGTTTTATGCTCAGTCATTCTGTGCTGTCTGATTTGTCTCATGTACACTTTATATTCTAATTTTTATAAAGACTTTAAAAGATTTGGAAAGACCAACTACTGAATATTACTTTGTGGTACAAAAATAACAAAATTTGTATTTGGCCTTGTTCATTTCTGCTTATCAGGTTCCTTCTGTGTTGAAAATATGACAGCCTCTGTTCTTTTTCTTCAAGGTATGCAAAATCCAGTCAGATCAAGACCATGTCCAGCAGCAAGATATTTTTTAAAGGCAGTCGATTTCGATATAGGTGAGTGTTCACTGTTTGTTTTTCACTGTAAACCATTTCAGAAAGTAAAAGAAAACATCAGTAATCACTAATGGCAAATGGAGGGCTTTTCCTCTCAAGGACCTGTTCACAGCTAATCCAGATTAGGATCTGAAAGATTTTTTATTGTCTCTTCAGTGTCACATATAAAATAAAGTGGAGACTTTATGCAAATTTCTGTCAAAGAGTGGTTTCACCAGAACAGGGCTCCACTTTTGGTGCAGTTTCTGTAAAAACAAGGAAGTGTGGCTAGTCTAGAGACAGTATGCCCCCTCTAACTAAGCAGCTGCAGACCACTAATGACAAGGGATGCATGAGTGGGACAGTCCAGTCCAACTCCTAGCATTCTACTACAACAGGTTACTTTTTCTTCAGTACCTTTGCAGGCAAATGGTTAGCAGAATTTTTAATCTGGGACATTATATATCCACTACATGAGATTTTTTTTCCCCTTTTCCTTGTCTTCTTCTGAAGGTAACTTAGTTGTTCATGTATGTATAGTCCTTGGCATGTAAGGAGCTTGTAATTTGCTTGAATATTTATTTCATGTTTTAATGCAGTGGAAAAGTAGCCAAAGAAGTTGTGGAGGCAAGCTCTAAAATCCAGAGGGAACCTCCTGAAGTTCACAGGTATGTCTTGAAATTCAATATTAAAGTTTAAAGACTAACATGATTATTGTTCTCTACAGAGAAGTTCTCTTTACTGTGAGATGTGATGGCTGTCATTCTGAGCTTCCCCAGTGAGGCATGCAAATGTTGGGAAATATGTGTTGCCAGTGTTATAAAATTCTAACAATAGTGTATTGTCTCCTACAAAAGAGAACTTAATCTGTGCTTCTTTGAAGCAGGGTTTAAGCAGTCAATCAGGTAAGTAGCTTACATTATTTTTTGTGTTATGACATAGACTGTTCTTATGTGATCCCGACAGAAAATTATATTGTCATTTCATTCCTAGTTCTCAGTTGTTTTTAAAAGATCCTGTTGTGCTTTAACTCCAGCCAGCAACTGGGGTTGAAGCACCACACAGCTGCTCACTCACTCCCTCTGGAGGGATGGAGGAGAGAATTGGAAGAGTAAAAGTGAGAAAACTCATGGGCTGAGATAAAGACCATTTAGTATATGAATCAAAAACCACTCACACAAGCAAAGCAAAACAAGGAATTCATTTGCCACTTCCCATCGACAGGCAGGTGTTCAGTCATCTCCAGTAAATGAGGGCACCATCACGTGCAATGGTTACTTGGGAAGACAAATATCAGCACTCCAAACATTCCCTCCTTCCTTCTTTCCCCAGCTTTGTATGCTCAGCATGATGTCATATGCTTTATACGCTGAGCATAATGTCCCATTTTTAAAAAGGGAAAAAAGGAGGATCCGGGAAACTACAGGCCAGTCAGTCTCATCTCTGTGCCTGTTAAGATCATGGAGCAGATCCTCCTGGAAACCATGATAAGGCACATGGAGAATGAGGAGGTGATTGGTGACAGCCAACACAACTTCACCACGGGCAGATCGTGCCTGACGAACATGGTGACCTTCTACGATGGGGTCACGACCTTGGTGGATAGAGGACAAGCAACCGATGTCATCTACCTGGACTTGTGCAAAGCCTTCGATACTGTCCCACATGACATCCTTGTCTCTAAATTGGAAAGGCATGGATTTGACAGTTGGACTGCTTGGTGAATAAAGAACTGGCTGGATGGCCGCACTCAGAGAGTGGTGGTCAATGGCTCAGTGTCCGAGTGGAGATCGGTGATGAGTGGCGTTCCTCACGGGTCGGTGTTGGGACCTGTGCTGTTTAACATCTTTGTTAGTGACATGGATGACGGCATTGAGTGCGCCCTCAGCAAGTTTGCTGACGACACCAAGCTGTGTGGTGCGGTTGACACGCTGGAGGGAAGGGATGCCATCCAGAGGGACCTGGACAGGCTGGAGAGGTGGGCCACTGCCAACCTCATGGAATTCCACAAGGCGAAGTACAAGGTTCTGCAGCTGGGTCAGAGCAAATCTAAGCACAAGTACAGGCTCGGCATAGAATGCCTTGAGAACAGCCCTGAAGAGAAGCACTGGGGAGTAATGGTGGATGAAAAGCTAGACATGAG